TAAAGCCATGTATGATACATTTCAAGGCTTGTTTAACAACCTTATTAGAAATAAATGTCATGTAACTAAATTTTGAGAACATGAATTAAGAAACCATTTTGCTTTTAAACTAAAAATTCTGTTCTGTAATATTTAACCATGCTGAAAGTTGAGATTTCACATACATGTCAAAGGATAGCAGATGGTGGAAGCTGATGTTCATATTATAATGAGAGACGAACGTTTTTTCTAACAGCTAGTTTGGCTACCCTCCCTTCCTCAAATGGCATAACGGTATCTGCATGGATAAAAGCATCCCTGAATGATGCTGCCACTAAGCGGAGTGCCTGTGCAAGTAACCTGACTTTTATGTATCTGAGTAGATTTAAAGCCCTGTTTTTGAAAGATAAAGGTAGAAATATAATTCCTATTATAAAGGTACAATGTGGGACCAAAACAACCTATTATAATTATATCTAGGACAGTGGTTCTCAACCTTTTTAATGCCGTGACCCCCAACCAGTCGTAAGTCGAGGACTACTCAACTGGTCGTAAGTTGAGGACTACTCAACTGGTGCAGCACCGTTTGCAGAATGGGACTTTTGGCGGGCTCAGCAGGCAGAGACAGCCTGGACAATTCCTATTGGCTTTTGAAAGCCATAGAATTAGACTCTATTCAAGAGAGTCTATTCTATTGGCTTTCAAAAGCCAATAGAATAAAAGGGAGTAGCACAGCTAAGCAAAAGGGGAAAAAAATGGCGGACTGCGTTGTTTGGCGACCCCGGTGAAATGGTCGTTCGACCCCAAATGGGGTCCCGACCCACAGGTTGAGAACCACTGCTCTAGGAATTATAAAATTGCTGATTGAGGAAGGTAAGCCCTTCTGGATCTTGGATTTTAGACTGATGTTCAAACAGAGCATGGTTTTCCCTTCAATGAACCTTTTCTATGCAATGTCAGTTTGCCCCTTATGACTCTTTGACTGGAGGTGTCTTTGCAGACCCCCAATAATTCTCAGCTTTGCTCCTTAAAATACTTTTGTTTCACAGTGGCAGGAACCGTATGTGTAGCTTCCGGGATGCTGAGGTTCAGCTATATCCCTTGCCCATATATGCCTATATATGTGCATCAAAAGGGTAAGAAAAATATCCTTCTGATATCAGATAACCATCTTTTATTACACATAATCCACTAATTCCAGTCCCACGATATTAATAACTGTGTAGTATTGATTCTATTTTATCTACTGAAATATTATCACTCTTCTGCAAATATCAAGTGTTGATATTTTGAGCCTAATGACCAGCAATTTCTGATGTACTCACATCAACGATTAAATTTAGTGGGGAAAATGAACATATACAGCTAGTAAATGTCTATGGAGATTCTTAGTCATCCAGGTCATAATTATCCCAAAGATGCTTTTCCACAAGGCAACTGGACTTTGTTTTTCTTTGAAGACCTTTTGCTTCTCATCCAAGAAGCTTCTTCAGTTCTGACTGGATGGTGGGGAGTGGAAAGATTTATACTCCTGCAGACAGCTATTCATTTGCATTCTTTTAGGAGTCGTTAAAGCTACTTGGAGGCTTTTCTGTGTCTTCAGGGTCACCTGGATTGTGCAAATGGGTGTGGAGCCTTCTTGGAACTGTTGAAAGGACTGTGTTGTAGACTGGAGATAGCTGACTTGGAACCCTCTCCCTCTGTTGAGAGAGGGCTGTTCAATTTTGACATAGATGGCCTCTTTGACCCCTCTTTCAAACCAGTTCTGTGTCCAAAGTGTGGAGTTTGCTGTCTTTGAAAGAGTGGCCTTTGTCTTTTAAATGCAGATGGACTGCTGACTCTTGTCCTAATGGGTTTGTTCTCCTATGTTGTGTCATACGTTTATGAAGTTGTTGTTTCATTTCCCCAATGTACAGATCTGTACATGGCTTACTGCATTTGTACTAGATTTACCACATTGCTCAGTTTGTGTCTGATGTACAGGTAGTAGATAAGCCATTCCCCATACAATTCATTTCACAATGGGTCATTGGTTCAGATATATTTCCTTACCCAGACAGAGAAACAGAAAGAACATGGGTAGCCAAAAAAGCAGTGGGAACAGGAACAACTGAGTTTCTTTGTGGGAAGCCTTCCTTCCTTCCTTCCTTCCTTCCTTCCTTCCTTCCTTCCTTCCTTCCTTCCTTCCTTCCTTCCTTCTCTCCCTCCCATCAGTGGGGAAGTTGCAACAGGAAGTTACAAATCTAAGCCCAGTGCTGGGTAGGGGAGGAAATGTGGGTGGTGCGGTGAGGAATGGTACATGGGTGTATAAGAGGTGCCATGTAGGTTGGGAAGACTATCTGGATGTGTTGACTTCCCTTCCCTTTCCACCAGGCAAGTAAATGACTGCTGCTAGGTGGGCAATAAAGGATTGCCAGATTAACTGGGAAACTGTCATAAAACATTGAACATGAAGATTATGTGACTGGAGCAGCAGCATCAGCAGCACAGCAATAGACAGTAGCACTGAAACAGCTACAACTTTCTCAAATTTCATTCTCTCAAGAGTCATGGATCCCAGATTTTGGGCACTTTCTATAGGTCGATTTGAGTTACCTTGGTTCAAAAATTGTTGCCTTTTGATTTGATTTTGTCCAGGTAAAAATCATGACAATGTGAGTAGTATATAGATTGGTTCTATCAAGTAATAATCTTCTATTAAAATGACTAGAGCTTCTGAGCCATTTTCTAGAGCAAGCATTGTGCAACATATTTCAATAATCTAACAGTGGATAACTAATTACAAGGTACAAGCATCTAAGTAGCATCTAGCAGCTTTTCAGTTTCAGATTAGACTAGTATAAAGATGTCCCATGCCACACTAAAATATGTTCTATGTTCTCCAGTGAAAAAAACTGAATAAGAAAGTACTCTCAGATTATGCTATGTTCTCCTAGAACAGCATGGAAAAACTTGTTTCATGTCAAAATTCAAATTCCTTTCAGCAATAATCTGCTAGAGGCCACATGATGAATGAGACTGAAGCAACCACGGCTAGAGAAACAGAACATAAAGTCGGTGAAAATACCAATTTTCTCTCTAAAGAAACAATCTATCTCTGGGGAATCTTTTCCAGTAACCCTTGCAAACTGCCAGGAAGGGTCAAGTAGTTCTTAAAATGGACCTAAATTGATCTCTTGAACAGGAACTTTGAAATTAGCCTGACAATCACATTCTGGACTTGGGAACGCAAGTTTCCTATGCTTGATTTAAATGTATGTGCCACACAGATTTTTAAAAATGGAAACAAAGATGGAGTCCCTTGATATAATAAAGTGTAAAAACCAAAGAACCAAGTAGCTTTCTGGAATCAATCACATGAGATCAAAACCAATTTAAAAATCTCCCTCAACTTTATTTTTTTCAGTAACAGAAATTTCTACTTATATAATCCATACTTGTAACTTATTATATTTTACTGGATTCAAAACTACTACAGCTCCACTGCAAGCAAAAATAACAGTAAAGGCAGATACATGTAGGCTTTTCGGGGGCATTATTTATGTATATCAATAATACATAATAACAAACCGAAGATATAAACATATATGTGTTTAAAATATGAACTAAAACTTTTTCAGTATTAAATAGTTCTGGAATCTTGAAGAAGAGTTTAACATTAATATTAGTTATTTACTGCAAGAAGAGAGTGTGGGCTTCTCCTGAGGTATCTGATATATTGCATCTCCTACGGTTGATATGTTGTAGCTTCCATTGATTGTGATGCTTGGGACAGATGGTAAGCAGTATTTGGAGTCCAACACCACATATAAAGTCACAGATTTCCCACCCCTCTTTAGTCTATAGTCAGCATGGGGAATTCTGGGAGCTGAAGTCCACACATCTTACTGTTGCTGAAGTTGAGAATTACTGGTGTATAGAACAGGAATTTGTAACCTATGTTTTGTGGACTTCATGAAGCTCTCATGGTCTTCTCTGTAGCTTTGAACATTGTTTTCCCATGTCTCTTTGTCACTGCCTTAATTATGCTGGGAAATAAGCTGTGCAAGGAGTCCTTTACCACACTTTAATCAGACTCTTCACAGTCCAGCAAGTAGCTATTTGGTGGGCTGTCAAAAGTTCAACTGTGTTGAAGATGGAATGTAAAGAAAGTCATCTATGCAAGTCCCTTCCCTCAAAATAATTTTTACCAATGTTGATGGCAGGGAGAATGAACATGGTAAGAAATTCTGTCCCTTTCCCTTAATAATTTTGATTGTTTCCTAGATGTCTGTTAAACCATGGTGACAAAGAAATGATGGATTATGCATGCGATAGTGTTAACATTAAAATTGGTCTTTGCATTTGTACTTGCATTCAGATGTGGTATGCAATATCAGCTATATCACAGAGTTTTAAGTTGTGACAGCACAATTAAATTTTTTTTCACTTGTCTCCTCTCTACAGATTTTTTTTTTTTTTAGTTCCTTTATGTCAGCATTGACTCTTGGTAACTGCCTGGACAAGTCCCTGCAGTTTCTTGGCATGATTTTTCGGAAGTGAGTTGCTTTTGCTACTGAGGTTGGAGAGAGAATGACTGGCCAATGTTGCCCAACAGGCTTTATGCCTGAGAATAGAACTCATGGTCTGTAGCCTGTTACCTTGATCATTACACCAAACTGGCTCTCTGCCTATGAAAATAGTAATAGGAAAAAAAATCAGGTTCAGCTACCTATCAAATAATAGAAGAAGCCATTTTAATTTTGTTTCTCCAGTGCTCTCTATGCAGAAGTGGCACAGTGTCTGTATATATGGTCCCCAACCATCACCAACTGCATGTGTATTTTAAGGCCAAAAATGTTCCTGCTCTGATGTATCCTACATGGCCAAGAAAAATAGGTAACTTGTTAGAATTCTTCAAAAAGTGAAAAAGCTTTCTATACATGTAAAATCACTGTAGAGTTTAGACATTATTATTTAACATTCAATATGGTCTTGAATTTTATGAGTTACTCTATGTCAAAAAGCCACAACCAGGAACATTTAAAACAAACCATTTATTTTAAACTGAACAGTTATTTTTAACAGTTACATAAATTACACAGAATGACTAAGTCAGATGTTTCACAAGGGGAGAAAAATCAAAATTTTAAGCAGGGAAAATATCACAACAGGTTAAAAAGAAAGAAAATTGCCAAAGCATTCAAATAAGGCCATAATTCTTTAATTAAAAAAAAACCCAATAAATTTCCCCCAAAATCCATTTTCCCTTTTCTTTCAGTATTCCAGTGCTGCTAAAACTACAAGTCCTGTACAGATGTAATCAAGGCAGTGGGTTACACAAGGGTGTAAGTCCTTCAAGTTCATATCATACTCAAGGTCCATTGAAATGTTTGGATTGCAGTGCCGGATAGATGAACACCCTTTTCTTCCAGGTTTTTCAGCATTAGCAATGTAATATAATAAAGCTTATTAGTACATGCAGTTGCCCTTGAAACTTCAGACTTAATCGCCTTCATAACTTAAAATCACGAAGTGCACAGTTAAATGCCAGAAAATGTAGTCTGCTACTCTATCAACAGTTGCCCATGCTTAATACTTAATGGTCTACTGGAGCAAAATGGTGCTCTTTTTAAAGAACTGTCTCACTGTAAAACATTTAGTTCCAAAGATATGCCAACATTTTTTGAAATAAAAAGTAGAAAAACATAGATTATATAAAGAAAATACAAAAACACTAGAAATGACCAAACATTTTCAAAGAACAAGCACCACAATGGACACTAGCATTCAGTTTTGTAGCGTATAATCATTTTACTCCAACCAGTCAACTTCATCAAATTCTGAATCATCTTCTGAATCACTGTATTCCACAGCAATGCGGCGAGACAATATGGTGGCGACATCATTTTCAACACGCTCGTGTTTAGCTTCTTGTTCACGTTGCTCTTCAACTTTACGCAACTGAATACCTAGAATATCACCAAAAAATTACAAATAACTAACATGTATTTTGCAAGCCATCTATATTCAGCATAGCAACATAGACTAATTTTTTTTCCATAAGAATCTTCAATTAACAGTATGCACTTTTATAGCTTAGTTAGAAGTACCTAATTTTTCTGGTTCAGATAATTCTCAGACCTCTGAGAACACATCATGGGCACTTTTAACAAATGGCTACCAATGAGATAATCTCAGTCATAAAACACCCGTTTAGTAGAAGGCAAACTTTTAAAGTTGATCCTGTCACCTTACTTTTCTCTTTTTTCCTAGCAACAACAACAACAAAACAAAAAAGACAAAGACGGCAACTTCCCAACAACTGAGCCATTCATACAGTCATTTTCTACAAATGCCTCTGGACAGTACAGTCCTCAAAAACATTCTTGAAAATAGATTTATTTTTAGGCTGTTAAACAATTTTACATATTATCCAGTCTCTTGTGGGTGACCAAAACCATCTGTTATTTAAGGGGGTCCCCATTTTTTTTTGCCTGTGTCAGCAGGTTAATATGTTATTTTGACATCATATTGTAAGTCCTCTAAAAAAAAAAAAGCCTGCCATGGTTGGTATGGATGATCACAAAGCATTTACTGGGAAAAAAAATCAGGTACAATTGTTCTCTATTATCCTTTTAGCATCTTCAGATGTCCTCTTAAATAACTGAGCTGATTTCAGCCCCTCAATATTTTATTTTCTGAATCTGCCTCAAAAGTGCAACAGAGGCACTGTTGATAGTGCAGAAATGCCTGAGGCTGGTGCTGTGCTTTGCTTTACAACATGCGAGCTTCCCAAATCTATTTATTTATTTTAAATGGCAAAAATAAAAATAATCAGATCCAACTAAGTAAAGCATCAAGCTGGAGAGGGAACCAGCCTCAGGCACTATGCTGTGTACTTTGTACCATTAGGCATTTTGTTTGGGACATACAAACTAGTTTAATAAAGAAGGGAGAGGAAATTAAGAAGGAAATTGTTAAGTTATTCTTTAACTATGGAAAGAAATGTATGAATGTAAAATGCAGTTACAAAAATAGGATCATTACAGTAATAACCTTCATAAACTTTAAAGTAGAATATTAATATTTTCAATTAAGAATATACCAATTGATCAGTAATGCAAACTGCTGCTATACAAAATGTTCCAAGGTCTGGGTGCTGCTGATTTAAAAGTGAAGCACAGTTGCTTGGGAAGTAAATTACAGCAAAGTGGTTAGATATGGATATGGATTATTTTTATAGAAATTTAATAAAAAAAGATATTTCAAAAGCTTCCTTGATAAATATTCACTTCTTTGCTGTAAAATATTTTGAAAAATAAAATGCCGTATAAATTATAGCCTTAGAACAGGCCCAAACTTTCTGGTTCTTTCAAAACCAAGAATATACCATGTTTATTAGAAAACAAACCCAATTCTGATCAAGATTCCTGAATTTCAAATAGTTTAAAATACAAATCAGAATATAGTTTTATCTAGTTATCCACTCCTTATTTCTCAATTATTTAAGTTAATAAAACAGTACTGAGAAATTAAGCTATTCTGTCACTTGTGCTAATGATTTCAACCAAATAACAAAGCACAATAATATAACTGGGTTTTTTTTTGTTTTTTGTTTTTTAGAAAAATAAAATCTTGTGAACAACAGAAAGAAAAAGCTGAGAGCAGCTGCTTGGCATGCATCGATTATATACTGGTTTTTGTCATTGTCAAAACTTAATACTATATATAATATGCTTCTGGGACCCTTTCACAAACTATGTCCTCAACATTGTACTGTGCATGAACACTTTTTGCTAACATTCATGTAGAGCTATTATAAACTCCATCCAAGGATAAATAAGTATCTAGAATCAAGTCAAGTTTTTTTTAAAAAAATCCATATAGCAATTTGCTTAAGATGACATGCTTACTCTATGCTATGTACACACAGTTTTTTTTTTAAAAAAAAAAACATTAAACCTGCAAAAACAATATATACTTCATCAAGTGGGCAGCCCTGCTGATGGATCCACAGATAGCTAGTACCTTTTCGTATTGCTTCAAGGAGGACACTTCTGGCATCACTGATGACGGGTAGTGTTGATGGGTGTCGTTTGGGTTCAGGAACAGGAGTGACTTGGGATGGTGGGGATGGAGGCAATATGGGAAGGTGAGGGCCTGGGACAGTAGAGCTGGGCGGGTGAGAAAGAGTTGAAACTGGTGATGAGGGACGAATACCAGGAGGGGGCAGTGGAGGAGGAGGCGGTGGCGGAGGGAGTCCTTGCATTTCACTTGGCGGAACTGGAACGGGCTCGCAGACTTGGGCAATTCTAGTGATGGGAGGAGAGGGTTGCGCTAAGGGAGGGGCTATGGGAGGTGGAGCTGGATGAAGAACTCCGGGAGCAATCTGTAGCGGTGCAGGGGGTGGAGGGACAGCTGGAGGTTGTAAAGCAGTGGTGGGAGGAGGGGGAGGAGGTGGCACTGGAGGGGGAGGTGTGGAAGTCATTGCCGATCTTAATGAAGAAGTAGATAGAGCAGACGGAAGAGGGGGAGGAGGCGGGGGAGGAGTGGGACTCACAAAGACTTGAGTTCTGCAAGCAGCAGGTGACTGAGGGCGATTTTCTGTCAAAGCTGCAGTAGAGCTAGGATTAAAAAAAAATACCGAAATTGAGTACAATTAGAAGAATGGAAATTAGCTGTAATCACATTCTAAGTATCAATAATGATTTCAGAACATACAAATATTTTGAATGTGCAAATCGATCATATTTGAGGCGGTTCCCAGCGTTCCTATATCTAACACATACTGTTTAACATTTAATTTCTGAAATTGTATAACCAATCGTTATAGTGTTAATCTGAAAAGAAATTATATATTTATTTGTAATTTTTTCCAGAGATGTCACATAATTATGGTTTGCTTGACAATATTTATTTTATTTTACTTTAGAAAATTTATATTGCCGCCTACTCTCACCTGGCGACTCAAGGATATAAAAACACCATGTAACAGAAATAAAAATAATAAGAAAAATAATAAAATAATAAATATGGTTTAATAAAGAAAAAGCATTTGAAAATGAAACTAGAATTCAATCAGTGTGTCTATTATAACATAGCACTAAGCAGACAAATCTGTCAAAGTAGAGAATTTTGTTACAATAATTAAATATCTGACAATGCATTGCTTAAGATGATGATAAAATGTATTAAAATGTTTACGAGCCCAGATGATGAATGCCTGGCATTAAAAATAAATTATATTCAAAGGGAGGCAAGTTTCTCTTTTGAGAGTCCTCCACAGCAGGAGTGTGAAACACTGTCCTTCCTCCTTATGGTCACTCTCTACACCTCAGACTGAAGTAGAATTTGGAGTAGACTTTAGATTTTGGTAGATTTTACAGCAGGTATAAAAATGGCAGAGCCAACATTATTTTTGCAGGCCTCAGAGCTTCCTCACAGAAATGGGGCCCAAAACATTGGCCCTTATTCTTACATTTGTTAGAATTGTACATGGTTTGAAGTGTTCCTAGAGTCATCGTTATTACTGGAAATCAAGCAATCTTATTTGTTTGTTTGTTTGTTTATTGCTAGCTTTATATAACATCTTTCCTCCAGGAACTGAAGAAAACGTACATGGTACCTTTTCCTCTATATTTTCCCAAAAGTTGAAAGATAGTGGTGGCTCAGAGTCAGCCAGCAAATTTCATGGCTGGGGACAGACTTGAATCTAAATCTTTCCAATCTTAGTCTGTTGCCTTAACTACGTTACTGGTTGGTTACAATCTGTATTTTCATTTGGTATGCCATAAGAGCAATTTAGATTTGAAAAATAAAAGGTGCTTAGAAGGACACATGGACAGCCATGTCACTCCTCAGCAACTGTTTAAAAAGGCTGAACAACTGAGCAATCCCAGGAAAAGGCGAGTCTAACTGAAGGAGATGCTGACAATTGCAGTCTGTTACCTATGCATGGACCAAATCACTTTTACCTTTAGAATCTGCATCACTGTACAATTCTAGTAGGAATATCTTTTCTTGGACAGCATAGCCTAATGAAAGGGATTTACATAATGGTAGCTAATTGTTCCAATTACTATGATATGCTCTACAGGTAATCCTTGTTTAGTGACAATAGTAACTGACAACTTGGCTGTTAAATGAAGCAGTCCCTAAATGAAATGGTGACTGTGCTTGTAATCAGCTTTCTTTTGCTTTCAGACCTACAAAGGACATAAATGCAAAGATTGGTCGCAAAGTTACTTTTTCATCATCACTGTAATTGCTAACAGTTCCTATATGAGGCAGTACACAAGGACTAAACAAGGACTACATGTACGTGGGTTTCAGATTTTGCCTCCTCTTTTTAGTTTTAAGCTGAATATGTTACTTTCTAGACTTTTATATTATTTTATTATTTTCATTTTGATGACTATAAATGTTGAATTGACTCATAATTAATGGCAATAGATCTATTTATTAAATAAATGCATAGGAAAACCTCTAAGAATAAAGTACTTAGCAAATAGAAAATAGGTATTTCATGGATTTTTGTTTTCTTACTTACTTATTTTGTACCTACAACTTATAGTCTGTCAGTGTCAGCTATTGCCAAGGCACTCTGACATTTCATTTTAAGTGCTTCTTACCTAACACAGGGTGGAATGGGTTTCACATCTCCTCCTCCATGCATTGGTGGGGGTGGGGGAGGTTCATGTGGTCTTACTAAAACACGCTCTTCTGCCCTGTTAAGAAGTTCATTCATTTGGCTGTATGGTAATGCAGAAAGAGAATAGGGTCCATCCATGTGTTCCACATATGCCTGCGGTCTGAACAGAAATAAATCCATATGTACATATGTTAAATTCATTTTAGTCTCTGATTTCATTGCCGTTGTAAGAAAAACATTTCTCTCCGAAGGAAAATTAGCCCACTATTTCAATACTTATGGAGGAAGAGGACGTAAAACAGTTAGTAAGAGAAGGTCAATAAGGAAACTTAACACATGATAACAAAATATACACACCTGACACCTTGTTTTGTAATTGTCATAAACTGTGAAACATGAAGATGTGCAGTTAATGCAGGAACAGAAATTGTAAGTTCAGTTTTGCTAACTCCAAAGCAAATAGCAAATCATCATCATCACTGCTATTATACACACATACACATATAAGAACAGGAGAGGATTGTCTGTAGAGTAAGGGCATTCAAAAGCCCTCTATGGAGAATATGGGAAAGAAAATTACAAGTCCAGTCATGAGTGTAAGGTGGCATGGCATACTACAATGATCTATTACAGCAATGTCAAATTATGGACGCTTCTAGTAAATTACCCCTAATTATAGAACGTAAGGATGACAGCTAGCTTGAAATTCATACAAACAACTTAAATGAGCTAGTTTCAAACTTTGAGTTAAAAAAAAACCGAACCTGGTCTCAAAATGTGAGGCAGGGCCATTAGCAATTTCAATATGCTTATGTAAAAGGCTGGCATCATCGTCTGCGAGTTCTGCTCCCTGGGCTAACTTCTGCCATTCTCTGCGCCTGTCGTGAGGAGCCCGTGGCACTTTTTCTGGTTCATGAGGACGATCGAGATTCTTCTGCTATTAAAAAAACATAGGAAACCTGACACTGAAAGAGTTCTGCTCAGAAAATAAAAGAATCCACCAGAAACATATGTTTTCTTTTAATTACAAGAAGGATATAACATTGAAACATTTAAATTGTCCATGATAATTCCTTCACATTTTCATCATTCAGCAGTATAAAATGTAAGTAATAAACAATGTACTTCAGTAATCATGGAATTATTGTACCAATGAAGAAAAATATTTGTAGCTCAGGGTTGAAATGGGGGGTCCTTGGTGCTCTCTGAGCTTGCCTGTTTTCTTGCATACATTTCATTACCCTAACTAGGTAACATCATCAGTGCGTAGTAAGGAGTCTGTCTGCTGTCTGTTTATATTCTGGTGTCTTGCCTGTCTGGGTGGGTGGTGGCACTCTTAGGGCTTCTTTGGACTGTTTACTAATGGCTCTGTGGCAGTTTCTTGAAATTATTGGATGTAATACAAAAAGGCGATCTCTAGTATTATATTTATTATAAAATACCTATAAGTTGACTATAGGTATAATGACTATAACTGAACATTATGAACTAATGAGTTTAAGATCTACGAGATACTATAAGGTTGGTGTTACAAAATGCCTCCGAAAATAAAATCTACAAAGCTAGAAAGTATAAATTTATAAACTTACATGACCTAAAATATCCTGAAATAAAAACCTAACCAAATTAAAATATTATGCATTTCTACAAAAACTGAATCTTTATTAGCAAGCAACTAATATGAAAATATGTATACAAAATACTTTTATCAATTAACATCTCCTGGCTAAGGGTCCTGCCATATTTTATATGCTGTCACATAGAACTTACGTGAACTTATTTGAATGCAATAACAACTGTTTTCTGGAAGCAGTAAATGGATGTAAAATTAATCTGTACAGGTTGGCAGCCATAAAAGTAATGGGTAGATAAATGTAATACAAATGTCTTGGTAATAATTACAGTAGAAGAGAATGTGTTCAATAATTTTGACTCAACCATCATCACAATGACACAAATATTCCATTAGGGAGATCTTCCCACATTTTCCTTATAGCACACCCAGATGAAGGATAGGGATAGGCGTCTGAGTGAAAACCCTTCTGTGTTTATGAATTTCTAACTGTATAAAACATGTTGCAAATATTACTATATCTACTGCTTTTTACATCCATTGTAAGTTGCCTTATAAGCAAATCTAGACCAGATATACCACTTGAGACTAAAAGGCAAGAGATAACCTAAAACTAAGATAATTTATTCTGTTCCACAAGGCTCAGTATCTATGTACCAGTATTCATAGTCTAGCAATATTTATTGTTACTACTCTGCAGAAAGACTTTTGCTCATGATTATAAAAATAAGTTTGAATCATTATGCTAACTCTGTTAACAACAGGGAAAATCCTTCTTTATACAAGCCAAAATCAGCAAGTTCATAATTTTCATTGCTAGGAACCAAAGTTCAATCCATTCTATTTCCCATTACAGAATTTATCATAAAGGAAAAAAGCTTCTACCTGACAGAAGACAGAAGTAAATATATCACAGACCTGAACTGATGGAATGACGATTCTTTTTTATCTAATTTGCACACCTTCCCCATTTTTATATGAATTTTTGATTTCCCAGAAGGCATTTCTACTACTTTTGCTGGTTCTTATTATTTAAATAAGCTTTATTATGTTTAGGAAATTACATGATTTTAACGGCTGCCTTAATGGGGCTATTTTTGTTTCATTGTATCTTTGGTCAAAAGCAGTATCCTTTACCTTCTGTTTTCTCTTTTCCTTTCTTTTATCTTCTGTATCTTGTAACATCTTTTCTTTCCATAGATCAAAGAAATATGAAGGATTTGTGTAAAATTTTAAACCCTCTTTTCCATCATCTCTAAAGACAAAGCAACATTGTAAAATGTTATTAAATACAGATTGAATGATAACATCTGAGATTATAATATCGTCTCCAAAAGAAGAATACATTTCTAGCAGGATGAAGTCTTAAGCAGAGCATACCTACATACACAAACAGGGGAAAAGGTGCATTTTTATTTCCAAGGAAAATAACTGACACTGATCTATAAAGCACACATTGAAGGAATGGCAGAAATTAAAATTAATGATGTTAATTCAATAGATAACCATATCTGGGGGCAATAACAAGTGGACCCAAATTGTAAATTATTGAATACACAAATCATGGCAAATGTTTCATTGTATGTCTAAATATTTAAAGACCATGTAAAATTCATTATGTAATGCCCATTTAAATTTTATTATTTGTTTCATGGATTTTGAAAAGGAGCTTGAGTGCTAAGCTCATTGCAGAATTTTATGCACTAACTTAACAATCATAATATATACAATCATAGATGAAAGATATAAGCAAAAGGTGAATATAATAGAAATTAATGATATAATTTCTTAGTAAATAATTTGTTTGAAAGGTTATTTTGGTTGCAAAGTTCTAATCAGATGGGTTGAAAAAAAGAGCTTGAGAATGGAACCACATGCTTCATAATGAGGAAAATGCACTCAGCAGATGCTCAGGGGCACATCAATCAAATAGTTTATGCCCTTTAATGCCAGAAACAGATTCTCTTCTTCAGAACATTACAAACAAAATACTTTAATGATAGTCTGGGCTAGACTTGAGTACAAGATTCTTTAGTTGCCGAAAGGAATATTCTGTGTACATAACAAGACAGCTTGGCCTAGAGGTTAAGTGCTGGCCTAGAAACCAGGAGTTGGTGAGTTCTAGTCCCACCTCAGGCAAGAAAACTGGCTGGGTGACTTTGGACCAGTCACTCTCTCTGTCCAGCCCACTTCACAGAGTTGTTGTTGTAAGTAAAATAGGAGGAAGGAGTATTAGGTATGTTTGCTGCCTTAAGCGATTTATAAAGTAATAAAGGCAGGATAAAAATCCAATCAATCAATCAATAAATAAATAAATGGACTTTGATCCAACTTCTGTACAAGCTTAAGTGTGACATGATGTTGTACATTACAGCTTGCTGCACATGCTTTTCTTGTAGAAAGTTCCAATTTAAATCCTTAATATTTCCTAGGAAGAACTGGGGAAATAAAGTTCCCTAGACATTGGCAATATAGCATTAGCTAGGCCATGAATAGATATAAATCATTTGCTTATGTATTATAAAAGAATATAATCATGATGAACAATCAAACAAATACAAGGCAGATAATCTAGATACTCAATTATGTAACCTTAGAATTTATCAGTTGCTCCAATAATTTGTGAAATTTAAGTTGCATAGAATCAGCTGTATGACTTTTGATGAAAAAGAATTGGGATCTCAAATGAAATCCTTGAATTCAGTTACAGATTTTTGAAAATTATTATCCCAGTAAATAATAAATGCATAATATAAACAGAGGATATAGATTTTTGAAATGATAACCTGTAAGGGGTAAGGATGTTGAGTGGTGGCGGCTGTTCACATGTATCGTAAGTCTCCTGCAAAGGGATTGGAAGACTCTTGCGGTCAAAGAGCTGTTGATCTTGAGTTGTGGAACTTCGGAAAGCTTTTCTCATTGTTATATCTTGCAATGAAACTGAAGAGAAGATAATTATTTACACAGTTGGTGTGTTCAGAAAAGGTTATACTAAAGTTTGCACTTCATAAGAAAACAGGACATTGGAATTGTTAGGATCTGCTCATTAAAAATTAAGGCTGTGTAAACACATCTCTCCTAAAAGTATTAAAGCGGCCACATACTTTGGAAGGTCACTACTCATATGTCAAAGGCTTTACCTAATTGCTATGATATATTTCTTCATTTCATTACATTGCAATCTTAACAGAAGTCTTGTGTGCCTGTGAAAAATATCTAGGAAAGCCTTCTAAGCAGTTATGCCAAGTCTCTTATAAGACCTGTCTTCTTTCATGCTTCAAGGAGAAGAATGTTAAACTCACAACAACATGCTTTTCAGAGCAATGCTTTGAATGCCTCTACATAGTCAACTACAATGACAATTATGATTCTGTAAAGTGGAGGAAAAGAGCCAGTTTGGTGTTGTGGTTAAAGCATTAGGCTAGAAATCAGCACAAAGCCAGTTGGGTGACCTTGGGGCGGTCACACTCTCTCAGCCCTGGCAAACCACTTCTGGAAAACCTTGCCAAGAAAACTATAAGAACTTGTCCAGACTCTCTCCAAGAATCAGACATGATTGAACAGAAGGAAAAAAGTGGACGATTTTGTGCTCATTGAGGCAATGAACATTCTGAAATTAGAACTAATATTACTATGACAAGAAGCCATAAGCAATTGAAATTGGAAATAAACAGCTTAACAATTGTAGAATACACTGCTACAGATTCTTTGAATGTGGTTCTGAATTGGCTGAGTAGCTGTCACCACTTTATTATTTTTATGCAACACATTGTTAAAGTTTAGCATATAAGTTATACTACTGGCATCAATGATTTTTCCCAAATTGTTTCCTCAAAGCTGATCAGAACTGATTCTTTATAATGGCGGACATTTTGCTACTGGAAGAAATCTTCAAAATGAATGGAAAAAAGCATATATGTGTTACAAGGTAATTTATCAATCATACACGTGTTTCTTGGATGTGGCTCACATCTAACATTGACTATAAATTCAGGTAGTTAACAAAATTGAATATACATTTCTGCTGCCTATAATTTATTTAATTGAATTTAATTAGTAATGTGTGCATTAATCTATAACTGCATGTTTCATGAAACTAAATTAAACATATTAATTTATGTGATGGCAATTTTGTGTTAGGCACTTGGTTTTATCTAATGCGAACTAGTAAACTGGGGTTCTTCAAACTGATGGTCCCTAAGCAGACCATGCTGGCTAGGTATGACAGAAGTTATAGTTCAACACATCCAAAAGAATATCATAGTGGAAATACTATGATAGCTGGTTGGACTAAATACTTTTAATACTTTCTATCTCTAAATTTATTGATTCTAAAGCTATTAACTGAAATAGCCCATACATTTCTAAGAGAGAAGATGAATTAAAATAGTCCTGGCTTTGAATGAAGTTATGTAACTTTGGTACTGGAAATCTTGGCACATGAATACTGCAAAATACTATAAATGTTTTTTTTGTAATTAAAATGATTGCAATTGTAATTAAAATGATAGAGTAATCATGTTAATTTGTTTCATTTTTTAAAAAACCATCTTTCCATCTTTGGGATGGATAACATTTTTAAAACTCAAGGGAAAACTTCCTTAAATTCTTTTTTTTTTATAGAATAGCTGAAATTTCACTAGCATATATCACAGTGATGTCCAGAACAGATTTCTGCTAAACCAAAGCAATATTTTTGAAAACACATTTATAGAAATTACCTTAAAGTGCTTAAATCTCTACAGATAGTAAGCACTACTGATTAACTTTCAATTCCAAGTTCCCATAGTTTCCCGTTACGATTATGCCAACAGCCTAGTCTAAGTGTGATTTATGTCTCCTACATTCTTTTGAAAAATATTTAGAGTAAAAATAATTTTTAAAACATTATTTTAAAATGCATAAATATATAAAATATAAAATAAAATTATTTTATACTTTAATATCCTGTCTTTCCTCTGCAATTTCCAAAAAACATTCAAGGGCATCTATCTCCAAATTTTCTCTCCATAATAACACCTTAAAGGGGCTGTTTTGTGCTTTTTTAAAAAAAAACCTTTTGCTCTGCAAAGCTAGCCTCATAGGGCCCAGGAGCATGGGACAAAGGGACATTTGGCAGGCTGTGGCACCTTTAAGCTACTTTGTGCATTTTTATTTTATTTTATTTTATTTTGCTGCTCAAAGCCAGTTCCATACAGACCAGCAACCAGACCAGGCAAACCTCAGCAGCAGGAGCAAGAATACGATAGCAGAGGGGACAACAGAGCACAGAGTGGCAAGGTCTCAAAGTGCAGGGTGGTAAAGGCAACTGAGATCGGACTGGGGTGGGCTGGCACTCTTACTGAGGCTTAGAGCTGGGAGGGAGGGACCTCAAAATGGCTTGGACTGGGGTGAGTACTCAATGACTTGTAATTCTCAATTAATGAACACAATGGGAGTGCCAGGTTTTCCATTTTAAGTCAGTGCAGTTATATGATTCTTGCTTTACACCATACCAATTTTCGGTAGCAATCCCAGTCCCAATTGTGACTGTAAGGTGACTCCCTATATCCAAGCAGCTCCTACACCTCTCCTTCTCCTCCTCCTCCTCACCCTTTCAGAAAATCTATTATTTCCACAAGACTACATTCTTTCAAAATGTCACTCATTTTTTTCATAAACTTCATTGCTGATTCTCCATTATCACCATTCACTAATATATTACTAGTGTATTACTCACTAATATATTTTCTATTGCACTACAATTACTGCTATCTTTATATTGTGCTTTTTCCTGAAGGAGCCCAGAGCAGTACATAGAGGATCTAACTACCTGTCTAAGCTTCAAAAATATAGCAAAACTGTCGTTTCCAGGAATAGGTCCATGGTAGCTACCAAATCAAAGCTGATTACGGGGCTTCCTAAATACCATTACCAGTTCAAGAATTATACCCAAGTCATGAACAGAATTTTATGGAAGAAATATATTCATATTCAACTAGTTTTGCAATCATGAAACAGAGATCTACCACTTATATTTTTGGATCAAATTTCAGTTTCTTCATCTAACCAATTAAAAACCTCAGGAGTTTTTACAAATCGATTATATCACTATTTGTTAGTCTTGCGCAGGACTCTCAGCCGTGATATCTATCAGCATGGCAACTACTTTATGGCAAATATCTCTTGAAATCTGCTTTCAAACAGACCTAACTGAAATTTGATCTCTCAGAACACAGATTATTCAGTGGAATACTGAAAAGAGTTTTTACATGTTCTCAATCATGTATTTTATATTCTCAATGGCATATTTTAAAGGCTGTTTATACTGGTTTGCTTCAGATTTATTAGCGCAACATCTGCTAACTGGAAATAATAGATAAAAGTGTCTTCAGTACCAATATTTACAAATGATGATCATGTCTGGTGCAAGCCATAAAGTAATGCATCTACTATTTTTATAAAAACTCACGCTCTTCTTCCTTTGGATCAAGTTGTGTAACACTGACAGATAAACGATCCACACGTTCTTGTAAGGAATTCACTCGGAAAGAAAAACTATGTGCCTCATTGAAAAGTTCTCCAAAGATATCTTCTGCATATTTACCTGCAAAAGGAAGTTTTTAAAAATAGGGCTAAGAATATGAATGTGCTTCAAAGGACTTGGATTGTTATATCATACTTTCGTTTTAGACAAACATCGTGCAATAAAAATGCAGGCTTAAAAATGTCAAGATAATATGATATCTATATTGGTCTATTGCATTGAAAGCAACAGTTTTGTGGCACTTAGACTAATACACAGGAGAAACTTCAATAAGTATTTTTTATTGGAATCCTGTATATAGTCACAAATGAAATGCCCATTAACAGCAGCTTGTTCAAGTCCTTAAGAGCTTGTATGCTTTATTTCATGATATAAGAATTATCCAATTTTTCTCAATAATTTTCCCGGGTGTTTTTTCGGGTATTTAAGCATCTGGTGTTTCTTTTCCCCACTGCTCGGAGCTATAGGTATTTAGAATCTGAAACCTGCATGACTGCTATGTATTACAAATGAAAGTCTGTAGAAATGTTATAAATGAAATAAAATGGATTCCAAAACTATTTTAATCAAGAGAAAGAATGGAATGTTCATGGTAAGATTAATGAAACTAAAAGTGCAAGAATATCACCATAGTAATAAAATAGCACTAAAGTATAGTGGTTATTTATTCATAATTCCATACACATGTGCAACCCCCCCCCCACAAATACTGAACATCTAGCAGCTTTAAATATAATTACTTTGACTAATCAGTTAAGTATTTTACTGAAGATCCAAATGGAATTGCTGAATATCTGAAACCCTATTATAGTTTCTTCTATTTGGAATAGCAAGAGCACTTAGCAATAGCACTTAAGACTTATATACCCCTTCATAGTGTTTTACATCCTTCTCTAAGAGGTTTATAGAGTCAGTTTATTGCCGCCAACAATCTGGGTCCTCATTTTACAACCTCAGAAGGGTGGAAGGCTGAGCTGATGAGACTTGAACTGCCAAACTGGTGGCAGCCAGGAGTCAGCAGAAGTTGCCTGCAGTACCGCATTCTAACCACTGCGCCACCACGGCTCATGCACAAATATTATTTCTTATATTTAGTTCTTTGTATTCAACCTCTTCCTGGAAGAATCACTTTGAACGGCTCCTGGAAGAATCATTCCGTGGGCACTCCATCACTGGAGATTTTAAAGAAGAGACTAGACATTTACCTGTCTGAGACAGTATAGGTTCTCCTGCTTGAGCAGGGGACTGGACTAAAAGACCTCCAAGGTCCCTTCCAGCTCTATTCTATTCTATTCTATTCTATTCTATTCTATTCTATTCTATTCTATTCTATTCTATTCTATTCTATTCTATACTATTCTACTCTACCCTACCCTACCCTACCCTACCCTACTCCACTTTGTTGATAAAAAGTCATTTAATGATTTAGTTGGAAGAAAAAAAGATGCAAGAAAATATTTCAATTTTAAGGGGCATTTTTATTTATTGATCTGAAGAAAACCCTTTAACTATTGCAGATTTAACATAGGCATATGCATACATGTGTGTGCATGCATGCACACATACAAGCATTTTAAAAGCAACTATGTCTGGTTTAAAACCCTGTAACTCTAGTCAACTCTAATCAATCTTTTATAATAGATACATATATGATACTTATCACTGGTATTCTCATAATACTGTTCCAAGAAATATTCAACATTTCACTTGAAGAGTGCCATGTATGGGACAATCTACTTAAGGGTATTTGAATCCGGAATTTGATATCTTCTCAGGATATTTGAAACTTCAACAATCAATGTAGTCATGAGACTCAAGATGATTATGTTAGAAACTCAATGAATAATCCATGTGGTGATATATTTGTTTCACACATGCTGGTCCTTGTTTTAGTTTCCACAGAGAAAGACTTCAATTAAATCTACAAATGCTGCTTAGAATCATACTTAGTGACATTTTGAAGCCTACACAAGTTGGCAGAACATGTTCAAAAATATTAATTCAACAGCCAAAGTGAAAAATGTTATATTCAAGCTTTGTGTAAGACCATGCCCATTGATCTTAACAGCAGCAACAACAAAAACCCTCTAACTATGTGCTTAAATTAATGTAGGTCTCTTCACTAAAAGACAGCCAACCCAGCAGTATTTTTCAGAATGCTATCAGGCTGTAAGATTTTGCCTGCAGACTCCAGCATCACTGTAAGCATAGGTTTTTCTAACTGTACAGATATTGTGCATGTATAAAGTGTTCTAAGCTTAGAGTATCAATTTCAGATGTTCTGGGCTCAGAATAAAATGCATTTTCTGTCTAAACCTCAATAGATTCCCTGGCACAAAACTGGAAATCAAAAGGTAAAACAAATGAAATAGAAAGCTTACCCAAGCTAATAATAAACATAATATTCACAGAGCATTAACTTGCTTAACGACAACCATGGGATCATTTTTTATTTCCCCCTTTCTCCTTCATTTACATTTTATTTTACCATTGACTTGATGAATAAAATCATGGCTCATTATCAGATTATCATGAAGATCACTTAACAAAATAGGAGAGAGATGGAGGGAGACAGAGAGAAGCTAGAATAGCCTGGATTTGGGGGGGGGGGAGGGAAGGAAGCTACTATTTTCTTTAATTTGGGAAACAGCTGCTGTGGGGCATCAAGCCATCAATGATATGGTCAATCTTAAATAACTTGCAATGTAAGTTATTTAAATAACATGCCAGATAAAATAATCAATAGAGAAAATAAAGGCTAACTAAAAGATGGAGATTTTTTTTAAAAAAAATGCACAATCATAAAATGTCATTAAGGCAAGTACCAGGAAAATATGCTTTCAATATTACACAGCCAAAATACAAAATTTTGAAAGTCCTTTATTCAGTAAACTTCAATATATCTTATGTAGTAAGAGAGCCTTAAATAGGTATCTAATAAAGATATTATAGAGGGAGGATGCTTTACTTTTGAAGAGCTTTACAGATCATAAGCAATATTCTGAATTTAGCTCAGGAGACCACCTTATGCAGGTTTTTATGTAGCACAGCTAGACAACCCATGATCCAAGGGGTCATCCTTTTAGTGATATTCCCTTACCAATACAGAGAAATTTCTTTGGCACTAAAGGATATTATTTAGAAGATGCAGTTGAACTGATTTATGTTCTTCCTGAACACTTTTGCAATAGATGCATCATTGCTATATAAATTTGGTTGTTTATTAGATAGAGGTTGCAAACTGCTGATCTTAATCTTTCCCTTCATTCATCATTGCTATATAAATTTAGAAGTTTATTAGGTAGAGGTTGCAAACTGCTTATCCTGATCTTTCCCTTCATATAGCAGAAATTGGCTGTTTCTACAACTATAGAAATGCATGACAGAGAGGGCAAACTTTGGCCATGGCAGTCCGAGTCTCACTGGCTCAAGGTTGACTCAGCCTTCCATCCTTCTGAGGTCGGTAAAATGAGGACCCAGATTGTTGGGGGCAATAGGCTGACTCTGTAAACCACTTAGAGAGGGCTGTAAAACACTATGGAGTGGTATATAAGTCTAAGTGCTATTGCTATTAGCAGAAATATTACACTCTGCAAGTCATGCATTTTGCCTCACTCTTTCTCTCTTGAACATCATGTGCATGTTTGTATGCCACAAGGGACATACAAGGCAATACAAACATGTTTTTTGCCTGGTCTCTCTGTGTTTCCTGTTTTTAAAAAAACAGAGATTCAACCACATCTGAAAAAAACTACATTGATTAAAGATTTTAATTGTAATTATTAGTCAGTTGCTAAGAATTTCTTCCTGGAAAGTTGTTTAAGCAGGCATAATAACCATTTTAAATTAACATTTAGTGAGATTAATTTGCTACACTTATTAGTCTCCTTTAGTCTAGATTTGAAATTAAACCTACTTTGATTTTCTGATGGGTAGAATATGAGGGGGGAAATATTCCAGGAGAATCCAGTGATTATGGACCTATTAATTATGTTTTATATGCTCACACACAATATGTATGTATGTATGTATGTATGTATGTATGTGTGTATGTATGTATGTTTTCTGAGGTTTTCGCGGGTGTTTGTATGTAGGTCTTTGGTTATTCGGGTTTTCTCCCACGTAAAATTGGAAGTGTCTTGGCGACGTTTCGACGAAGTCCCATTCGTCATCTTCAGGCTGGTGTTTTCAGCTTCGTGCTTCGAGCAGCAATGTGTGGTCTTAGCTGTTTCTTCCTTTTAACTGCCAGTGGGGGTATGAACTGATTGGGTGGGAGCTTGCTGTGTTCTGATTGGGTGGAGGTGTGTTCTGATTGGTTAGGGGCTGGCTGTGCTCTGATTGGCTGGGGGGTTGGCTGTGCTCTGATTGGCTGGGGGGTTGGCTGTGCTCTGATTGGCTGGGGGAGTGTTCTGTTTGGGTGGGGCTTTGTTGTGCTCAGGTTAGTCTGAGTTGCAGGGGGGTTTAAGATGGTGGGCTGCCTTGCTATTTTTTGGCTTCGCGTTCGTGGTCGTGCCTCATCTTCATGGTGGGTGTCAGTTTGCTTCATGTATGGATTGGAGGGGTTTAAAGTGGCTAATGATGCAGCTGTGGTCTGGCTTCTGGTTAGTGGTCATGCCTCATCATCGGTGTGGCTTTGGGTTTGCTTTTTGCGTGGATGTATGGTGGTGACATCCTGTGTGGTTTTTGTGAGTGTGGGTCTGGTGTCAAACGACTCCCTAACACAAAAAATGACACAAAAAAGACCTCCCCCTTCCCCAATATCACCACGATAGACCTCCCACCCCTGGAACTTAACAACAACTGTGGAGAGTGTGGAAGATCCAGCATGAGGAGTCTGCAGCCTGACGCTGTGGGGAACGTCGACAGAGATCAAAAGAAAAAAGGGGGGAAGAAGAAGAACGAAAGCACGGCTCGATTGCCTAGGCATACGGTGAAAGGGAGAGACACGGTGTTCTGCCTGGACCCTCTGCAGACAAGGAATACCCCCACCAACAATACAGCCCCCCCCGGGACGAACACTTTGAAGTCCCCCCAAAGACGAGCACAGGAGAGGAGAACGCGGGGAATCAGAATGCAGAGACCTGGAACCTGGTGTCCACCTGAATACCGTTCCTATCAGCAATGGGGAAGAGCATGCGATAGGGAGGAGGGGGGATGATGAACTGAGAGACGGAGTAAGCACCCGATCACGCAGCAAACAAATGGAACGGTGGAGAACTGTCGACACGAAGATTGCCAGGACGGAGGAGGAGGGCATAGACCCCCAAATATGCAACACCCGTATGAAAGTTACTCATGACAGTGGAGGAGTGAGAAGAAAGGGTGTGGAGCAGGGATTGAGAAAAGCGTGTGTGGGGGGGGAGCGTCTGTGAGCCCAGGGAAGCTTGTAACACTGATAGAGGAGAAACAGATGCCCCCAGGGTGGAAAATGAAAACAAAAAGGGGAGGAGGGTCAGTACTATGGAAGGAAATAAGGATAAAGGGGTGGTGGAGGAGATGAATGCCAGTAATGAGATAGTGGAAGGAATGATCCAGAAGAACCATAGAAGGAAGCGGACGGAGAGTAATAAAGAAACATCTGAACACTAATTAACCGGCCGGGACCGGTGACACGGTCCATGAGCTGGGTGCAGATGCCGGCAAAACCCATTTAAGTCATCATTGTTTACTGGCTCCTTAGCCTGATGATGTTTGGAGTTTCCAAACGAAAGCTTGGCAGCTTTTAGTAAAGTATATTTTTATATTTATACTCTCCTGGTGTTCGTATTTTATTTGTACCATATATGTATGTATGTATGTATGTATGTATGTATGTATGTATGTATGTATATTTATATTGTAAGTGAGCATATAAAATATAATTAATAGGTCCATAATATACACACACATATATGTATACATGTATTATATGTATTCTCATACTCACAATATATATAAAGAAAACTATTCATAATACATTTTGTTAAATACAGGGTATGGGAGAATAATGCATCTTTTTTTTAAAAAAATGAACATGATGAAATAGAATTCAGGTTAAAGCCATACAGATTTGGCCATATAAAATTTACCTTTAAAATAAATTAATTCTTAATACATTAAATACTTACTTAGACTGCTTAATTGTCTTATTATATTTGCCAAGGAAATATTAGTAACACATTCCAATTCATTCTTGATGCCTCGTGGCAGAGCTGTATGGCAAAGATATCTAGGGTCTATGTTTCTTTTTACCAGTGGCATATTGAAATATCAAGCAGGTACCAGTCCTGTGAAGAAACAGAAGAGCAAATTAAAATATAATTCAGGTTGCTTGTTTCCAAATAAGTTGTACAAAAGATGACAAACATTTGAAAATACAATTAAGGCACCTATGAAAAGCAGGATAGTCAGATGCAAAATAGCTCAGAGCTCTTGTATTTTCCCTACTTATTTGGAAATCTTATTTAGTGCTTATGATAAATTTCCTCATAGAACTATTAAAACTATAGAACTATAGAAATCTTGTACTGTAGTGCCCTGAGCCCCTTTACTATTCATTATTGGTTGTGAAGCTGGGAGTTCTTATATGTTATAGTTCTACCAATTGTGCCAGATGGTATAAACTAATTTTTCCAAATTTGAATTTCTCTAACTGCCTGCATTATGGCATTTTAGCTAAAATCATATGGGAAGATGTAACCCAAAACTTCTGGAATGATCTAAACTGAGAAATGCAAATATATTCTACCATCATGTGTTAAAAATGAAGGGGAAAGCGATTACTTGATTTTAAGGGACTATAAAACAGGATGTAGCAAATATACAGTCATCTGGAAAATAAAGTACACCCCCTTTGAGTTTTTACATATCAGGATATAGTAAAAATCATCTGGTTCTTAGCAGTTATTAAAAGTAGGTACAATCTCAGATGAATGACAACATATAACATATTACACCATGTTATTATTTATTTTACCAAAAGAAAGCCAAAATGGAGAGACCATGGGTGAAACCAATATACCAGTTATTCCATGAAAATAGGACAATACTAATAGATTGCAATTATATACAATTCCTATTTTGGTCCAATTTTTCCAAGCATAAGGTACATCAGTTGTGAAAGGGCAGGAGCGAAACTTAAGTTTCATAATTAATATCTGTTTATTTTTGAGTTTAAATCTCCAGGTTCATAAAATTCCATCATAGAATACTAAAGAAACTAAATCATGGTCTAATGGAATCATTAGGAATTATAATTTGAAAATTATGAAAAAAGGTAAAAGTTGCAGGAATGTTGTCTGAGGAGGAATGTTGTCCGTTCTGGGAAACTAAAACTTAATCAATTTGACACCAGCATCTGAGCAAATTTTAGAGCAAATCCTAAAGAGATTGACCTTATAAACAATGTTTCTTACATTTTTTTCTCCAGGGCCACTTTCCACTTTTAAAAAATCTGGAGGACCCCAAAAGAGCATTTGTTTGTATTGGTTATACTTAACAACATTTATCATATTAAAATTTTAAAATGTCACATTGCTACTGCTTGTCACAATTGTTTAATGGGATTTTAATACTGTATTACTATATTATTTTTCAATATAGGTTGGCAAATAATTTAGATTTAGTGGACCGTTGTAATGGTCTTGAACCACCCAGGGATCTTATGACCACACTTTAAAAAACACTCTTATAAACATGCAGTATTTACTAGAAGTCACCCTATATTTGTAAAGAGCAACTGTTGCTAGATTAACATTTTTGTTTATGTAACTTCCTTAGTAAAGAGAGCCAGTGTAATGTAATGGTTAAAATGAACTACTACCTGGGAGACAAGATTCAAGTTTTTCCTCAGCCATGGAAATGGAAACTCACTGGAGGACTTTCAGCCAATCACTCTTTCAGACCAACATATCTCCTAGAGCAGGGGTGTCAAACTGCCAGCCCACAGACCGGACGCGTCATGCGGAAGCCGCACCCACCCCATTACCAGCAATGGCAAAACTCTTCCGATATGTTGCGCAATGTCACGTGATGTCGCGAGTTTGACATGTCTGTCATAGAGTATTATTTTGGTGATAAAAAAGGGAGTTCCTGGAATAGTAATTAACTGCAAACTGAATATGGACTAGCATAAACAGGCAGGTCCAATTTTAAGTGGTATCAACAAAAATATAATTTTCAGATTATGGGAAATAATCTTTCCATTTTATTCTGTTTTGGTAAGACTATTTGAAGCTCTATAGTTTAAGAGGATTCAGTCCAGGCAAGTTAGGATGAACAGGAGACAAGAATAAATGCTACAAAGAGAGACTGAGTGGTTAGCATTCAGAGGAGAAAAATCGAGAGAGAATGAAATAACATCCTTCAAATAATTGAAAATATATCATGCTGAAAGTTAAGAGCTGTTTTTCATTATTTCATATTGTAAAACATGAAATAGTGGATTTAGCTATCACGGAGACAAATTCCAGCTGGAAAAAAAGAAAACCTTTTCAACATGAAAGAAATTGGCAATAAAACCACGTATCTAGTAAAATAGTGGGCTTCTCTTCATTGGAACAAATGGAGGCTAGATATTAGAAATGCTTTAATTTGGATTTCTGCATTGGTCTTGATAGTCTAAATGGCATGTTTAACCTGTAAGGTTCTAAGTAACTACCAATTTCTTAAATAAAAAAGTAAAAAATACAGAAAATAATTTTCCCATCGTACAGTTGCTCAGAGATAGCAAAGAATATATGGAAAAGAAATGATAAATCAGTGGCAGAAAACCTGCTGTAAAAACAGACATTTTAGATTTATCGCTTAAGTTCTCCACTGAAAATATTAGATAACACACAATGATAAATGTAGATACGGTAACAATTTATCATGCTTATTTGCAAATACATTAACGTTAACTCTAATGCTTGCATGAGAAGCTCCTGAATGATAACATGAGATTAAATTCTCATCTCTACTAACAAATTAAGAATTTGAAATTGGGCTGCAGTTGATTCACTGGTCTTTTAATAAAATTATGTGGCATTATACCACGTTTGTCTGTATGTGTATATGTGAAATTTCTATACTAGAGAACTGGGAAATTTGTCTAGTAGGGAGGGATTTAAATACTCGGCCACTGAAGGTTTGACATCTGATTTAAGTACAAATAATGTTTAATGATCAAATATGTAGAAGGACAAGTGTAATCCTATCTATAAGTAAAATTCCTATTCTCTGAACTGTGAAAATAGCCACTCATTGGACATCGTGCTGTCATTATTTTGGCCTCATCCAGCCCATGACAGGACCAAGAGATCCTAGAATCTCAGACTCTCCTAATAAACATTACGTGATACTCTGCATCATCTGATAACTGCACCTACAGTACCTACAGACATTAAATAGTACTGAGGACAAGAAAGAAGTTCTTTTTAAAATAAAAATGACTCACTACTATCAATTATCAATTGTCCCTGCCAGTAGTACTGGAAGTTCAGTAGAAAAGTGCCCTAAACTTTAATTCTCAGAAGTAATCTGTGATATGATACCATGGTCAATGATATCAAGAACAGCTGAGAGGTCAAGTAAGTGTAGCAGGACTGCATTTCCATTATTCTTCTCCAAAGAAAACTCACAGCAAAGGCCTGAATAAAGGGGTTGACAATACTGTTTCAAGCTGAAAAGCAGATCTCTGCCTAGATGGAAATAGATCTAGAAAAGCTGTACTGCCAAGACAATTTCCAGTATCTTCTCTAAACTGGATTGTGGGCCACTGGTTTCTGAGCCGAGAGCAAGATTTTTCCGGAAGGACTACATGGCCATCAAAGAGTCGAATTTCATAAATTATTCAAAATTTTCATCATTCGATTGGGAAATCGTGTCTATTTACTATTTGCCTGGAACCAGTGGTGGGATTCAGCCAGCTCGCACTAGTTCAGCAGAACCGGTAGCTAATTTTTTGTTCCCCAGGCCCAGAATGGACTTCTGGAAGCGGCATCCACAAAAGAACCGGTTGTTCACATATTTGAATCCCACCACTGCCTGGAACCCTTTTTTTCCACTCCAGTATTGACTTGAAAAACTAATGTAAATTGTAGATGCATGGAGTCTGACTTGTAAAGTCAACAGAGCACACGAGATTGATCAAAGAGGCTATGAACATTTTATGCCTGTAATTTACCAGAACAGGTATATTTGATAACAGTAATATACATACATACGTACGTTCTCAGAATATAAATAGAATTTTTAAAAATCTACACTTTCCTGTTTCTGAACACCTTGCCTTTCAATTTCAAAACTATTACATACTACAATTTTAAATTACATTTACAATGTTCATTTCAAATGTATTCTAGAATTTATATTTTCTTTAAAAATCTATAAAAACACAGCAAAATGCATTGCATTTCATTAATTGCAAAGCTGAGCATTTATTAATCTTTATAATCTTGGAAGAAATCCACAGAATAATGATTTCTTTGAGGACTCATAAATCTGTTTGTGTACATGTGTATGTGTATTGTGTGCCCATGACTACTATTTCGATAAGATCCTGTAGTTTTCTTGGCAATATTTTAGCAGTAATTTGCCCTTGCCTGTTTCCTAGGGCTAAGAGAGAATGACTGGCTCAAAGTCATCTAATTGTCTAAAGATGGACTAGAACGCACAATCTCTGGTTTCTAGCCTTGTGTCTTTATCTACTTACAACAGATTGGTTCCCAATTCCTAAATTCATGCTACCATATATGCAGAAGAAATGGCTATGTTCAAAATAAATAAATGAGGAAAAATATGACTATACAGTTCATGGCATTAGGCTATTGTGGCATTTAAATGGAAAACTAATGAAGGAAATAATACATTGCATCAGATATTTAAAAATAGAATGAGTGCTATCATGAATTATTCCAAGAATGATTCATAATTAATAATACTTCAGACTTATTTAATAAATCAATAAATCAATAAAAATGGCATAATTTACTATATTAAATCTTTTCAGCCATTTTTTCCCTTTCTTATTTATACAAAGCCAGCCGTGGTTAATTTCTCTTTATATTATAGGAAAGCAGCTGCTCTGAAATTAGAATTATTTATATTTCTTTAGTCCTGCTTCCCAAGTAGTCAATTTAATAAGCCAAATATTTTTAAATCGGATAACCAGCACATTTTTATGTAATGAATATGAATTATAAAATATTGATATGGTTATGTGTTACTATCACCTTGTGATTATTTTCCAGTGAAAAGTTATATGGCTTTATATAGCTTTAAATGGCTTCATATCTGTTAGTACAAAAAGTCAGGAAATGTCTAGATTTCCTTGTTTTTAAGGTGACCAACCATCCTCTTTTAGGGAGGACAGTCCTCCTTTTGTGAGTTCTGTCCTCCCTCGAAAAGTGTCCTCCTACATGACCTCCTTTTCAATATTTGAAGATTAATCTGCAGGGCTTTTTTTTTCTCATAGAACACTCAGAATGGCGTTCCAGCACCTTTTTTGATGGTTTTTTTTCAACTTTTGCATGAGCAGTGCTACTTCTCCTATTGGCTTTCAAAAGCCAATAGGAATTGCTGCTGAGCGCGCCAAAACACCCGGCCGGCAAACTTTGCACATGTAAGTTGTCTGCGGCGAAGGTGAATTGGCAGGAACTTTGCACCCCTCCCTGCTACCCAACTACACCATCTCCTAGTTAGTCCCGAAGATACCTGGAGGAGACTGGAGTGGCGATGCCACGGTAACTTTCTCTTGATCTTCAGCCCTGCTAGGGCAATAATGGCTGCGGGCGCAAGAGGCAGGGGCAGCGGGGCTGCTGTGGGCGGGGGTGTGAGGGACGGCGGTGGTCGGCTGCTCCCCGTGCTGTGGGAACCACGGGGCCTGCTCTACACGGGGCTGCGCAGGGTGGGTGGTGGTGCTGGTGGGGCGGCTGCAGGTGGAGCAGCTGCAGGAGGGATGTGTCGACAGCGGGCTGCCCCCCGGGGCTGGAGCTGGAGCAGCTGGTGCTTTAGGAGCTGCAGGGCCCGCTCTACATGGTGGGGCAGCAGTGCTGGCGGGGGCGCGGCATGTAAGCAGGATTACAATATAAAATGTTACTGTTACAAATGTTTTTATTATGCACTTATCATATTATAGTGTATTCTGCATTATTGTTGCAATGAATAAAATGTTTCTTTTATTTACGATATTTTTTTCTTCAATTTATTTGTGTCCTCCTTTTCATTGTAAAAAAGTTGGTCACCTTATTGTTTTGGTTGTAGCATTGTGGTGAAGGTAGTTAGTATGCAGAATAATTTATAGCCATTTTTCTTGTCATCACATGCAAATATGTGCCTGCATATTTTCCAAGAAAAAAACATCTGAAGATGATTTTCCGCACTCAAATAAACAAAGAATAGTGATGTAGTTGACATTTTTAATTTAAATAAAATTAAGAGTGACAGAATTGCTGCTGTTTTTTACAACTATCATCTGTTATTTTATTTCATGGACAAACTGTAAAACCTTGTTATAACTGAATAAAGCATGGATATTCTATTATTGCTCAGCAAGCTGGGAATATTTAGGATGACTCCACCCATATATATCCATCTTGGTGAGAACTGGATATTCTTAAGCGAAGAATGTTAAGGACAGCTGGACTTTTTTTTTAAAAAAAATAACCATTCATTTTGGTGTGTAACTTTTGTTTATGATATTAACACCATTATCATAATCATAGATAAGAAACAACATCAAGGCAATTTTTTTTCAAAATGATCCAAAATATGTTAAAACACTTAAGGTCTCAGCTGTAATCTCATACACATTTACATGGAAATGAGAACTATTAAACTCAGTGTAGAGGGGCACACATTTGCAAAGGAAAATATTTTTAAATGTATCTAATATGTAAAATGAAGACTAATTTCATTTCAACATGTTATAATAGCCATATCTATTAATAAATAAGCAAACCTATTTTATAAATTATAATATAAACAGTTTTCACTGAGTTAAATGCCTTGATTTAAATCAGTCTATTCTTTTGTGTACTTTTGAAATGAAGCTACCTAACCCTGTAATTTTCTATTATTATTTGCAAAATTTATGCCAGGTTTTTTTTTTTCATACTGGTTCCTTCCAGATGGGTTGAGTAGAAAGTTGATTTAAACCTCTACTTGGGACTCTGAATACATTTATAAACCAAAATGAAATTACAGACTGTATGCTCCCTATAGAACTCAGTAAGGGGGATGGGAAAGAAGGAAGAAAAAAAACCTTCACAAATTGAGAATATAAAGATACTACCATTTATACATTATGGAGGTTTTTTGGGGGGGAGGTGTTAAAATGATTTTAAAACTACTTCAAGCTTACATTATTGACCATATAACATGTTTGCAACTCAATAGTTATACAGTCAATAGCATCTCTTCAGAGATAACTGTTTTAGCACTTCCACATAGCAAATTGCACCATGTGCCTATTGCCTATTTGTTGAAATAACAGGTTATTTGGACTTCTTGGAATACAGGCAGCCAGTTTTCTTATATGTACTAGTAGTTGAGTTCTATGGACTTTGGGAAATCAATATTGAGTTATTTTGCAGATATTTCACTTATGCTTTTATATCTTAATTTTCTTATGATATAAACTACTGGGAATCACAGCAAGAAGAAAAAGAACAAACAAAATCACAGCAATGGCTAAGTCATATCTGTACTATCCAACTAAACTAGTGCTTATTTGTTTATCAGCAGCTGCTGGTAAGAAATAACAAAGATAAAGCAATCTCTCCATGAGAAAATGTTCCACAAAACTGCCTCAACGATCTAAGCAGAATATTCTAAAGCCACCCCAGCATTACCAGAAAATCTTATAGTTTCCTTTCAGAATCTATATCCAGAGTAGACTTCAATTTAATTAATAAAGTATTTAATTAATACTTAAAGTTCAAAACAGCAATTATGTAGTAATTAAAATGCAACAATATATATTTATCAAATAACAAAATGCACTAATACCTCAGTTCCATCAAAAGCCAATTCCAAAATGTGTTATTTGTGATGGATACAAAGTTGAAATAAAGGGTTTTTTTTTAAAAAAAATTAAATACTGCATAATAGGAAAAACCTTTAACAATAAAGGATTACCGTATGTATTTTCAAAACAAACCCTGTTTTGGAGTGCATATATTTCTTAGAGAACCAGAGAAATCAAAAGCACATCTATGTTTTCACCAATGTTCTTTTCCAGATAATTAGCAACTGTTATTACTTTTTCAATGAAGCATTTATGAAAATCTTCCCACTTAAAATAGATTTTATTTTCCCAAGTTTAATTTTTATTTAAATTAACCTAATTTTGTTTCCAAACCATTTCATTTTCTTGGATTAGGAGATACTGGAGATAGATATTTAGACATATTTAAATTACTGTTAACATGAGAAAGAAGCAGATTTCAATTAAATAATTAAAGAAATAAAGAATAAATGACAGAACTTTCTTTTTTTTAAATCAATAAATTGTGAGGAATTCTAGAAATGTTTTAGAATTACACTATATATAGCAAGAATGTTCTGTGTTAAATATAGATTACATAATAAATTTGTTCACTTGTGTGAAAACTGGATTATTAAATTAATCCAAGATAGCTACATGTCAAATTAAACTAAAACAACATACAAGATTTGTGGCATAGATCAAAAGATTTAAAGCTTTTTTAATGAGTGTGTAAAATAAATCTGGGCCATGAAATGTAAGCTCATGCTGAAAGATAGTCCTGCATTTGCAAAGAACAGATAAAAAACCAAAAACAGCAAGTTTAAACCTTCTATCTAAACTCAAAATCTATTGCAGGAAATTCATGATGCAGTAGAGTTGAATTCCAGCATACATATTAGCTGAGATGCTGTTTCTAAATTTGGGTTCATAATGTACCTGACTGATTGTATAACATGGGTGATTATTATTTTTTAGAATGTGACAAGTATTAAAGTATAAATATATACCGGTATTTAAATCATTTCCCTCCTGTAATTACATTTCTCTGCAGTAATACTACAGCCTAAGAAATTAAGAAGTTGTTGTCAAACATGCATATGTTGTCACATTGTTTGATTTTTTACAATTCAAGCACTTATATTAGATGGTATTAGCTCTCATAATTATATCCCTCTTTCATCATCATTCACTTATCATTTCTAAATACTGTAAACTTTTGAATAGATTATATTCCACAATGCAATTTATGAAAATACAAGAGAAAATCCACAATAAAATGGTGCAGTGATACCCCATGTGCTAACATAATTTTTCTGGTTCAGGGCTTTAGCCAGCCAGAAACAAGAAACTTGTAGTATTGCTTGAGTCTTGCAAAACAATTGGAATGAAAGAAACCTTTCTCTTCCATACCATCTCAAAATCTCCTATGTACTACCAAAATGATCAGGTTTGCCACTTTTAGTTTTTTCCAACCTGAAACCTTTCTTTACGTATACCAGTGATGGAGAACCTTTTAGAGACCGAGTGCCCAAAACCTGGCCCTGCCCCCACTCCACTCCCACCCCATCTGCCCAAAGGGCCACTCATTGCCTACAGGGTCCGCCGTAGATCGCCCAGACAGCCCTGCAGCATCAACTGTACGTGATGGGATGTGAGGGCAGAGTCTTGTCTACACTGCCTGGCTGCCATGTTCTTGGCTGTGCTGCTCCGCATGGGCCAGGCTCGGGGGGCGACTCTCGAGGGAGGCTGCTGGTGAGGAGGAGGTCATGGGGGAGCAAGGCTGGGGCATCAGCACATGTGCCCACAGAGAGGGCTCCGAGTGCTGCCTCTGGCACCCGTGCCATAGGTTCACCACCGACATATACAGTCGATTTAAAAAAAAAAACATAATACAAATGCACCTCACTTCTCATCTCACATATCTCTTATGCAGATTAAAATGTTCCTCAATAATAGCAAGCCATCAGATAGCACCTTCTTCCTGCTTTTTCAAACAAGTTTTGCTAAAATAAAATGGATGGTCTGAGGCCAACAAGGAGAACTCTGTGTTGGAACCAAAACTCTGGCTGCTTCTACTGATAAGAATATTGGGATGACCTAGTCACTTTTGTCTTATGCTCAGTCTGGAATCATATCCTTGCCCTGGGCACCTCCACTTCAAGGCAATCTCTTCACTATGAAATTACCCTTAATATGGACAGTGCTTTCATTTGTCTTGTGATGTAACAAGCATAAATCTTTGCCTAGTACCTGAGAATTTCAGTTAGTATATGACTTGCAGTGTGAAGGTAGGCTGCCAAGGTCCAACCATCAGAATCCTTTTTTTTCCTGGAATTCGCTCAAGGCTGGAATTCACCTGGAATCAAGGGTAGAAGTTGGCTCAACATAACATAACTCAACATAACTCAAACATGTTTTATTCTTTCATCAAGACAAACCTCTGAATTATATACAAAATGGTTTGCAGTCAAGCCATTCTGCATACTCCTCGACAGGGCCAAATTTGGATGTTTCACAATTTAAAATATCATCCTCCGCAAATTAATGAGACTGCAATCTCCCTACTGAAAAGCAGAGAAGATTAAGCAGTCACCCCAACCCAGGTTTTTGATTCTTTGGCAAATTTTGATTTAACACATACCCATGTTTCCCTGAAAGTAAGACCTACCCCTAATATAAGCCCTAATATAATAAGTCCTAATTTTGGGGGTGAGGCGCATGCCTAAAAATCAAGCTGGGGTCAGGGTAGGAGGGTGGAGCTTACCATTGCAGCCAGGCCTCCCATGGATCGACACTTGCTTCGCTGGCCCACTTCTTTTGCAACTAAAGGAGCAGCTTCATTCTGCAGCTGAGAATGGAGCTACGGCCTGCATTTTGCAGTCAGAGGCCTTTCTGGAAAGCCTCTGCAGCCGAAAACCGAGCTATGGATTCAATCCGTAGCTCGGTTATCAGCTGCAGAGGCCTTCTCAAAAGGCCTCTGACTGCGAAATACAGGCCGAAGCTCCATTCTTAACTGCAGAAAGAAGCTACTACTACTGACGCAAACATGGCCTGCTGGGTAGGGGCTGTCGGTGCTGCTGCTGTGAGGTGAGTGGAAAAGACACCCTCCAAAAATAAGACCTGGTACCTCTTTTCAAGGGAAAAAAAGGCCAGGTCTTATTTTCAGGGAAACACAGTATATGCCACGTATACATTTGGGCTCAATTATCTGTACATTAGAGCATTTTTTTAAAGCAGCAAATAAGATACATTAGGATTTATTCTAAAATGACCTGCTTATACAGTTTTTACATTTTCTAATTTGTAGGTATGCTTTTACATATTTTGTACAAAGAATTTGTAGCCTTTTTCTAATATTAATGGATGTCATAATTATATTTGTATGTGAAAAGAGCTGATTACAGTTCTTAAGTGCATTTCTTGCAATATATTAGCTATATTCATACATTTATCTTTCACAGAAATGTGACAAGAATTCATATCACCACAGACTGATGTAAATAAATAATTATGGATTAATTGGCAAAGCTCCAGAAATAAGTGCTGTGTCAAAGGTCTGTATAAAATGCATTTTTCCATATAAATGATATGAAAATCATGTTTTTGGTTTGATGTACAGAAAAGTTCCAGATAAAACAGAATAATTCACGAGCAGTATAGCTTCAAGTTTAAATCCTAAGAGCCGCAATTACACATTTTTGCATCAAGAGTAGAAATGAAAAATATATCAAACACTGCTAAAACCTTGTATGTGGCATTGGTGCCTCCATATACTGTTTACTGAAAGAAAATGTATTTGAAACTTAAAGTATTACATAACACCAACAAGCAAGCAAAGAAGTTATAAACAAGTTTGAAGCAAACCTAAAAGTATTAAGTAAGGATGGCATATAGGACATTATTTGACATACAGAAACTCTTAAAGTACTATCATTAGCTAATTATTTGGTGTTAGTTTTGGAGGATCCTTTAAAGCGAATTGAATGGGAAAATTAAAATTAAAAGAACTTGGTACATTAGCAGATTTTAAGATTAAGAAACAGAAGACGATGTCAATATCAAATATTAATATCAAATATCAAAATAGAAAATCAAAAAGAATTGATAAAAAATGGGATTTAAGGCCACATGTTAAGATGTTACAAGATACAAAGAAAAGAGAAGGAATGGGTTTTCCCAATTTGAAATTATATTTGCACTTGCTGTTTAGTTTGGATAAAATAGTGGCTGTTGCTGGAAAATAGATGACTTTTGGAGCTACAAGGACATGACTTGAGATTTCGATGACATAGATGTTGCACAATAGTATAAAGATTAATGCAAGTTTTAAATGTAGATTATGTTACTGCTACTGCTAAAATCTTTTATTTGAAGCCATTGTCAGCCTTCCTCCCAATATGTACACCAGATTGGGAATCAACTCAAAAGGAAGGCTAGGAGTACTTTCATTGAGAGTTGCCATAATAATGAAACTCACAAGTCTGATTGTGAAGTACCTCTTCCCCTTCTTATATCCATGTGAATTCAGGAGGTGTATGTCTGAGTCATTGCTACATACTTTTCTGCCTCTTTTGGATTTAAGTTATGCTTTCCAACAGATCTGGCCTATCTTCATCAAGGTCATCTTCACACTTCACACTTGCACTCTAAAAATATTCTTTTTTTACAGTAAAGCATCTACTTACAGGAGCACAACTCAAGCATCTGTCCTTTTATAGTAGGATAATGCATTTATACTTGCTCATAGTTCTTCCAAATATTAAATTAGGTAAAGAATTTCCAGTAACAGAGATTATTAGTGCAAGTGAGCAAGAAAGCATTCCTAAATTCCTACAGAATTTTAATAGAGTCATCTATTCAGGTTTCATAAGATGGACAGTACTGTAATAAAATATTTTCAAATTTGAATATTTTTGAAGCACTTATAAGCATTTCCCCACCTTTTATTTTGAAATAGTATTAAAAAATGTTTCAAAGAACATAAATTGATTCTGTTAAGTCATTATTTAGCATGAAAATACAAGATGAGGTGAAATCACTTTGCTATCATCATGTTCAATCTATCCTATTTTCAATTTGCATGTTTTGCTTTGGCTGCTAAGCAACAAATCAAATATATCTTAATGTTTCATATTTAAATGCATTACTGTATTTCCCACAGTCCTCTTTTGCTGAAAATCAGTTGCAGAACAGCTGCTTTTGGAGCAATAATAAAGGATTTATATTGGTTACAGTATATGAAAATCCAGAGAAGATTTTTGTCTCCAGAAACATCTTCCCAATCTATCAACAACTCTCCATCATGCACCACAGGCATACTTGATTGTTATCCAGATCAATAATTGAAGTATAAGTTCAAGATGAACATGACTGACTTTGGGAAGACCATTGTGTTCCAGAATCTTTCTTTTAGAAAAATATGGAAGCGGATTTTGAATTGACTTCTAAGCCTAAACTTGCAATTTGATCTTTTTAAGAAACATGTTGAAGGCTTTGTAGAAGCATTCTATGCAATCAGAAATAAATTCCTGTGAGTTCAGTTAGACTTATTTTAAAGCCAAATCTTAAAATAAATACATTCATTCTCCCTTTCACAATATAAAAGTCACATCTTTCTTAATCAAAACACACAAGGACATGACACTTCATAATTACCCAGTTTTTTATTTTTATTGAAAGGAGTTTAAATCTATATTACATTCAGATTATATCAGAATGGATCTCAAGATAGCAAACCATTTTCAAAAATATCAAAAATGTAAAACTTAAAAATCAAGATATCTTTAATAGTTATCAGAATGCAGGCAGAGAGAAATAGTGAGCATTTGTATTCTGAATTGAAATGTCTTATTAATCAGCTCTAGGAAGTATGAATAATATACCATATTATTTTTTTAACCCTTAGCCAGTCAATGATGCCAGGACAGAGATTTGACCTTTAAAGTAAGTTTCTTTGTGGAAATAACTCTGGTCTGCTGAAGCATCAGAAATAGAATAGGATAACAGAATCTTTGCTTGTGCATTGATCCTTATCTCCCTGAATTCACAGTGGATTTTATACCATTTTTTTTTCCAGCTAGTATCATTAGCCTTGATAGATGACATGCATCTGAAGTACCGTGTGAACTGCTGGGACAGCTAAATTTTGCTTATTATTTCCAGATTAAGTACATTCTATCAGAAAAGGGGACAGAAAGGATTCAGAAATCAAAAATGTAGGAGAAAGAAATAAAGACACTGACAGAAACTTGCAGAGATGATAACAGGAATGGAATCTCACTATGGTATGTAGGGGAAAATGGTCATCATCTCAAAAGAGAATTTTGTCTTTCAACCTAAACCAGTGGTTCTCAACCTTTTTAATGCCACGACCCCCAACCGGTCGTAAGTCGAGGACTACTCAACCGGTCGTAAGTCAAGGACTACTCAACTGATGCAGCACCGTTTGCAGAATGGGACTTTTGGCGGGCTCAGCAGGGCAGAGACAGCCTGGACAATTCCTATTGGCTTTTGAAAGCCAATAGAATTAGACTCTATTCAAGAGAGTCTATTCTATTGGCTTTCAAAAGCCAATAGAATAAAAGGGAGTAGCACAGCTAAGGAAAAGGGGGAAAAAATGGCGGACTGCGTTGTTTGGCGACCCCCGTGAAATGGTCGTTCGACCCCAAATGGGGTCCCGACCCACAGATTGAGAATCACTGACCTAAACGCATCCAATAGGGACTTCAATAAGATGTTTACAAGTAGAGAAACATGAAAGATAGAGGAAAGAGATGGGAGTATAAAGAAAGACATACATTTTTAATGGAGTACTAGCAATGTAGTTCACAGGGCATAATATCTTCAATTAGTACAACAGTGTGATTAAACCTGGATGAAATAATCAGGAATGAGGAAAAACAAAACTATCATAAAGTACAAATTTGTAATTAAAAGCAAAAAGATCCTTACGTTTGAAATTAAATGCATAACCCAAAGTAAAAGAATGTTTTATTTGTAATTTCAGTTCTGCTAATAATACTGTAAAATGTGTTTATGTTCAAATAGGTTATGAAAATAAAACTTTCTATAAATGAAGGGAATATACGAAGCAACGCAAGGATGGTTTGCAAAACAGTAACATAAGTGTGGTAAACAGTTTTAGTATAAACAATATTTTTCTTTTTGTTATCTCACACTTAATTTTTGTGGCTGATTATTTCTTACTCCCTTTCTATGCTTAATATAACAGTGCTTATCCTGAAAGGAAATTGTGTGATGGGTAGTAAATTAAGGGTTCAGTGCAAGGAAAATAAGATAAATTTTATCAAGCAATTTTTCAAAATCACGAAAATCATAATTCTTAACAGTTCCTGT